TTTTTTAAAAAAAAAAAAAAAAAAAAAAAAAAAAAAAAAACAAACGCTGCTGCTGCTGTTGCTGCTGCCTCTGGGAGAGGGCCCCTCGCTGGCGGGTGAGAGAATGATCCCCATTTTTGGCGAGTAACCTGCGTACATGAGACCATTTTCCAAACGGATTTCTTCCCAAGAGAGCCTCCTGAGACATACACTCAACGTACAATGAATGGCAGTGTTGTTAGTGATATCCATGTATGAACAACGCCAACATCGTGTGCCTGTTTGGTGGGTGAAGATGGCCTGCACTCGGATGGCCCGTTACCTGTCTCCCACTCGCTCTCACCCCCCTTCGAAGCGGTCGATAATTGTTCTTGCAACGGTTAAGCCGCGCTTGCTGGGTGTAGCTATTTGCCCGAGGGTTTTACTTGAAGATGCGGCTGAATGAGACTGTCAAGAGTTGATGACTTGGATACTACTGTACAATGGCGGTATCCAGGTAGGCATACGTGTACTCCACAGGCCGTGCGGCTCGCCTCGCGCCAACCAATCTTGTATCTAGTTGCGTTTGACGGCCAAAGACCGGTCTACGGTCTACGGAGAAGAAGCAGTCCTCTGGCTTCCCCGCTGACATTCCTTTTCGCCCGCCCAAGCTGAAACTAACCAGACTATCGTAGCGCCCACTCGAAGTACGGCAATCAATAATAATGTGGGCGCTATGTAGCAATTTCGTCTACAGCAGTGCAAGGGGGTGAAGGCAACAATCGCAACGAGCGTCTACGACCACCTGGAAGGGTACGTGACGGAGCTCGAAGCGATTTACCAGGACCGCGACATGCGGGGGCTGTACCAACACCTCAAGCGATCAACGGGCCTCAGCGGGAGACAAGCTGGGGGGCAGCAGTTCGTTACAGATGAGAACGACGTGCTGCTCCGGAACAAGAATGCCATCCTCAAGCGGTGGCGGAGATTCTTCGATACCCTCCTGAACTCCAAGTCCCCCACCCTGAACCCAGACGTTGTCGAACAGGTGACGCAGCGATCAGCGACGCGCGCCACCCGGCGCCTGGCAGCGGTACCAGACCTCGAGGAGGTTGAGGTGGCAACGAAAGGTTTGGGGAACTGGAAGGCGGTTGGCCCCGACCTCCTTGTGCCGCCGAACTGCTCAAGGTCGACAGCGACGACGAGCCCATTGCCCTGGAGCGCCTCCGTGCCATCTTCGTCGAAGTGTGGAATGGGGGAGAGATGCCGCAGGAGTGGAAGGATGCCATCATTAAGGTGTTGTACAAGAAGGGTGACCGGACGAACTGCAACAACTTCAGGGGCATCTCGCTGCTCTCGCATGTAGGCAAAGTACTCGCCAAGACCATCACCAACCGCCTGAGCGCATTCTGCGAAGCCAACGAAATCCTCCCGGAGGAACAGTGCGGGTTCCGGCCTGGCCGATCCACGGTATGCATGCTGTTCGTTGTGCGCCGACTCCAGGAGCTGGGGCGGAGGAGGAGAATCCCGCTCTACATGTGCTTCATCGATCTGCAGAAGGCATATGACTCGGTGGACCGGGAGCTACTGTGGAAGGTGCTGGCCCGGGCCGGGATCCCCGGGGAGATGATCGCCGTCATCCGCAAGTTCCACGTCGGAATGCGGGCCCGGGTCCGCACGGACGATGGGGAGCTATCGGACTGGTTCCCGGTCACGCAGGGACTGCGACAAGGGTGCTCAATGTCCCCACTGCTGTTCAACGTCTTCTTCGCAGCGCCTCTCGAGATCATTGTCACACGGTTCAGCCAAGATGAGGTTATCGTGCGGGACCTAGTGTACTTGAAGGAGGAGGAACGGAGGGGGGAGGGATTGCTGGACCGAGTCCGGAGGGCGGTGTGGGGGATGCTATATGCCGACGATGCCGGCGTTGTGTCGAAGTCCGCCGACGGCCTGGCGAGGATGATGACCATTATCGTGGAGGTGTTCCGGGAGTTCGGGCTGACGGTGTCGGAGAGGAAGACGGAGACCTTGGTGATGCGGGTGAAGGAGAGACAGCGACCGCCGCCGCCGCCACCGCCGGTGCTGACCATCGAAGCAGCGGGGCAAAGGTACGCACAGACGACCGAGTTCCGATACCTGGGCGGCCTCGTCAACGAGCAGGGCGACCTCACCCCAGAGATCAACCACAGGAGCAAAGCAGCGTGGGCGTGCATTAAGCGATACGCCACGGAGCTCTTCGACCGACCGGGAGCACCGTTTCGCCTCAAAGCCCGCCTGCTCCAGGCGGAGGCAGTGGAGGCACTGCTATACGGCTGCATGACATGGTCCCCACGCCGCAACCACTACGGAATGCTGCAGACGACACACCACCGGCTACTCCTGCGAGTCATCGGCTACCGGCGCAAACGAGGCACCTACCGGCAGCTGTCATACGCCCAGGCGCTAAAGAGGGTCGGCTGCCAGAGCGTGGAGGCCACTGTCCGTCAACGGCGCCTGCTCTTTGCGGGGGCCGTGGCAAGACAGCCGGACGGGCGGCTTCCGAAACGGCTGATGTTCGGCGAGTTGGTGGGAGGGGAGGACCCGGGCCAGGGAAACCCGGAGCAGAACTGGCTGACATGCCTGAAGGACGACATGAAGATGTTCGAAGCCAGGTACGGCTCCACGACCGACAAGCCGAGCGTCTTCGGAGTCCCGAAGTTAGTCTGGAGTGAGGCGGCGAAGGTGGAGGGGGGGGTACCGTGGCACGCGGGGGTGCTACAGGGAGCTGAGAGGTTCATGGCCTCTTGGCACAAGGGCAAGGAGGAGGCCAGCCGACAACGAGCCATCAAACGAGGAGACAGCGGGCCCAAAAATAGTCTAGATACGGCACCAATCAACGGGGCGGTAGGGGGGCGGAAGGAAACGGCGCGGCGGGAAGAAAGCAAGCGAGAAGAGACCGACCGCGTGACGTGACATGTTGCGGTCGAATTTCAACGACTAATTTTTCTGTTGCCCTCTCCCCCGTTTGCTGTCGCGTTCAGACTGTCTCTAGGGATATCCCTGTCTCTGTGCGAGTTTGTTTGTGTCCTCGTCTTTGCTTTATTCTGTTTTATTTTGTCTTTTGTTTTGTTTTTTACTGGCACGTACCCCCGCCCCTTCCTTTGGCCGTCGACCTGCCTCCATGTAGTGGGAGGCTACCCCCCCAGGCTGGTGGTGCGGCCGTTCCACTAGTCTAATTATTTATTTTATTTTATTTTATTTGTTTCTGATTATATTTTGTTTTCTTGTATTTTATCGCTCTGCTGACCCTTGGGGTCCATTTTATTTTGGTATACCTTTTCTAGGTACGTTAGCCTGTGACCACGGAAATTGGCCGAGTCAAGTGATGGATTAGTACGGAGAGATTGAGACAGAAGGAGGTACTGGATAGAGGGACCGGGATGGTTTTTAATGTGAAGACAACAACAACAACAGCAGTGTACCTCGTAGACGGTGATACATATATATCTATAAATAGTCTACATATTTTTTCTCCCGTCCCATAATTGGACTCTGTCGTCTGCCCCTCTGGCCCCTATCCTCCACTTCAACTACACGACCCAACCGGGGTCACACAGGAGGGGGGGGTTGGACCCCCTCTTGCGGTTCTTGCCTGAGATATTTTTATCGCGAGAAGGGTACAGCAATCCTGATATGAAGGCCGACGGCCAACGGCACAGACAGAGGAAAGATACTTATCTTTGATACTGGCTGACTTGTCGATAGAGTCCATCCGGTTAACTTTTGCCTCACCGTGACGCCCACTTGTTCTCGCGCAATTTTGAGAGTTGAGACGTGAAACAAAGTTTGCAATAATAACCGCACGACCGAGATGCATCGAAATCCGGTGTCAAAAACAAAATCGGTGAAAATGGCCGTTTTGGGGAGAAAATTACCCCGAAATTACCTCGAAACAGACATATTACCCGAAACTGCCCCGAAACGTATTGTATTTTCCCGAAACGCCACAGCATGCATTCTGGAGGAAAATATCTCGCCCCGTCGACTATCCGGGCTTGCTTGTCCCTCCCTCCCAGCACTCTCTCCGCAACAACAGCGAAAAAAAGCAACACTTATTTCAGACAGAAAAATGTAGATACTTGCCGACACCCCCGATCCTCCCCGCCATGATCTAGTCTATTCATCCAATCAAAATGGAGCCAAGTTCAAAAAAATATATATCTACAATTCGCGGCGGCTGGTGCTGCAGCTGTGGTCCTTTTCGTCTCCTCCGTAACATGTGTCGTTGTCATGTTGTGGTGGGATGTCCGCAGCGAGTGGTTCTGGATGTTGCAGTCTCATCGCGCCGAACCGGCCAGCAACTGTTCTTGTTTGGAAGCTGCCGCGCTTGTTTGGTCTGCCGGGAGTACGCCCAGCCATGTGTGGGCTTGTGTGGGCCCTTGTGAGGGCGTGGGGTACTGCTGTATGATGTGGATGATGGTGTGTCGTGTGGTCATGCGTGTTGTGTGAACACACAAATATGAAAACTCGGACGGGACATATCTCGCCAAAAACAATTTTTTGGGAAAAACGAAAAACCTTGTCATGGCTGCAGGTAGGTCCAGTTCGTCCGAATTCGTTGAGTTTTTCGAATACTATCTGTGCATATCTCCCCGGAAAACGGTTTCCTGAGTTCATCAGGATTGCGCTTTTGTGCCCATTTCTCCGTGGCATATCAGCGAAAAAAAAACTAAGTTTGTTATGCTCATGAATCTGGAATTATTATTATTTTGAAGTCATGGAACCCCACGACTTCATCACGCAACCCGGGTTTACCATACACCAAGTCTTCCCCGGGTTCCTCCTTCACATCCCACCCACAAACGTAGACCCAAGCAGGCTGTCACACCTCCACTTGCTATACCCCCACACCCACCCCCCAGCAACCCTGAATGTTCGTTCTTCGCGGAAAACCCGGGTGGGAGGGCGGGAGGGTTTCCCGCTCGGTCACCTGAAGCCTTGTGTCTAAAGTAGACCGCGGTAACCTCTACAGCAGCTCCCCGTTTCGTCTCACAGGAGCAGCTGCAGTGTGCCCTCTTCCTGTAGCTTGCTACTTCTGCGAACAAGTGTACTCCACCACGTCACCACATCTCTCTTCTGGTACCCTTTCCTCCTCAGAAACTTCCCCGCTAATTCTTGTTTACTTGCCACTGTACGATTCAGTCCCGCGCCACAAACCCCAGATTTCCTTCGTTCAATCTTACACTTGGGTCGTTCGCAGATCCTCGACGTCATACTCGCAAAACCGGTCAAAAAAATTCACACCCCACACTCGACCAAATGAAACCATTCAAATTCTTGCAAAATCTCGACAAAGTCGTGATTTTCTCGCCAACCGAAAAAAAACAAATCTGTTCTGATCAAACGATCCGCCTGAAACAGAGCTTTCTTAAGATATAAAGTACATATCTGGGGGGTACGTCAGTCACTCGGAATTATTTCCAGAGTGATCCTGGGAGATGGCGGTGGTGCAAAATTTAACCGGATGGACTATTATATGAGAACTGGACTAGTTTACAGTATTAACCTCGATCACCTACCATGTTCGTCCACGGTCCACGGTCGGCAGCGACGCAGCGACTATACCGCGTACCCAAGTAGTGGCGTACCAGGTGGTGCGCAGATCGGAACCGAGATGTCACCCCTGAAAAAGTTCAAGTGTCGTACGTACGATGTCCACGAGGAAATAGACAAGACAGGTGAACTTACCTGTAACGGCCCGCCTGTCTATGGCCCGTGTGCCGATGGCGTAAGCCATGCCACGCCGACTTGATGTGTAACAACGAGTGCAAGGATCCTGTATGTTGCCATTGCTTTGCTGCTGCGGCTGTGTCTGTGCATGTATGGGTCTCCCTGTGCCGAACATGCTGAAGGAAAACACGGAGCAGCCGGTAAATAACCTTCGTCTAGTCAATCGAAGCAAGCAATAATCTTTCACCAAAAAAAGCGACACGAACAAATTCACTGCCAAGCTGATGAGTAATTGTCCTCGCAAAGCATGATCACACGACCACTCAGATCTATGTATGTTTGTATCTTTGTGACGATCTATTGTCTGTCGTCGGCGTCATACTCTTTTGCCCGTGAGTGAGTGGTGGTCACTGCCTGCCTTATCTGTAGATCATATATTTTTCTGTGACTCACTAATAATGTACTACAGTAGTCTTCTATGGCTGTTGGTGACTGACCAAGCAATGAGGATGGCTGCCCTAGGAAGAATAGCATCTGCCGTTGGTTGTTTCTGACCTAGAGTTAGTGGGGGTCTGAAAACTAAAAACACGTCAGAACCAACCCACGGCAGAAGGCCTACTATTATGATACTACAAGTATGCTGCTGTAGACCAGCGGGGATGACTTCCTGAATCAATCGCCCACCTGGATACTACACACAGCAGCGACGTTGGGGTCGTTTGACGCCAACGAGCCGACGAACTTTGACAACCCGGCCACACCCTTCGATCAACAGGTATACCAAGAATGGTTCTTCTTCGAGAAGTTGTTCGTTACCTCTGTATCATCGATCGTCGCGAGCCTCAACCTGTCGGAATCTTTCGGCCAGATAAAGAGAAGTTCTGCGCGTGGATGTGGGGTGTTATCCTTCGCTACAACCCGTTCGTTCTGCGTCCTCCCCCGTTCGCCCCTGTGCAGCAAATGGAAGAGCCCCATCACATTGTGACATCATCCTCTAGCGAAACCCACAGAGGCGTACCCCCCACGGCCTAACCGCCCTGCCCATCCCCCCACTCCGTCCTGCGCGTCTCGCACTATTTCCCTGCAGCCGGCAACACCAAGGAACTATTCTCCCCGCTCGTACTCACTCGGCCACGACCGATCGTGCGAGGACCACTGTGGTGAGTGCGTTGTTGTTGTCACACGTTCTCTCTCCATTTTTTTCTGGTGTCAGTTGCAATGACCGACGTACTGCTGTAACTGCGGCGTATTTTTCACCGAAACAGCTGGAGAAGCAGCGTTCCGTGATTTTCTTCCGAAGGGCCCATTCCTTTGACTGGCGCTCGTGCGTGTGCCGTCACAAGCTCCTCCTTCCCAAGGGACTATAATTCGGCACCAATCGATAGTTGTACACAAATAAATGGATCTTCTGTATGCGCCGCAGGCACGCCCTCTTGAACCCCTCGCGGTGGTGCACCCGAAGAGAGACGGGTCGAGGTACAAAAGACGGACTAAATTGGAACGGAAACCCTTCTCTCACCCCGTATGCCGTTCGTGCGGTATGCGCGCCGTTTTACCCTGTTGAAGTGTTGTTGTGTTACCTCGCGAGGCTGACACGGCAGGTAGAAGCTTCGAGGGAAGATGAATAATTACACCAGCAAATGATGCGTAGATGGAAAGAACCTGGAGAGAGGAGGCAAATAAATCCATTTGCTGCGGTGCCTTTGGACGTATCGAGAGATAGATCGCGGGTCGTTCACTCTCTCTCGTGGCACGAGCTGACCCAGCTAGTATCTCGCCCGTACACGCTCGACCCATCGTGACGCACCCCCAGCATCTTGGTTGTCGCTCGCCTCTCTTCTTCTCTTCGTAAGACTTGATGCGATCTCGGCGCATCAGCTGTCGTTCTTAACCGACGTTTCAGCACAAGCTTAGTTTTACCCAGGATCTTTCGTTCTTCGTTTCTTGCTGCTTGTGCAACGACACAAGCCAGCACTCACATCGAATTCCGTCCGGAAAAATGGGGTGAAATATGCATGTAATAATACGCCGCCCAGACTGGAATCACGACGCTTCCCTGTACATGACATGGATGTCAGCAAGCCTAGTTTGCCGATACCTCCGAAGGTGCGAATGATGATTCGAAATAGCCAGCCACAAGCATCTTCCACATTCCGTTTGCCGACGGAACTTGTCGAGGCCGAACGTCGTTCTTCCTTCTTCGAAACCCATACAATAATGGTACACTAGGGAAACAGCGTGAGTGGGTGTAAGTGAGCAAGGTTCTCGCCAATGCGTGCGCTCGTGCTACTTACCCCTCCCCGACGCTTGTCTCGTGTCGTGGAACACTCCCACACGCGGAAATATTTAACTTTCCCCGCGCACGCACGCCTTTGGGGAAGCGAGTTGAAACGATGTGGCTGGCCATTATACCCCTTCCTCCGGTTCGTCGTTTCCTCCTTAAACCGACGTTTATTGCAATATCTGATTTTTTCTGGATGTGACAGCGTCCGGACCGATGTACATATATCTGAACGAGGAATGGCATCAAGATGCACTGCGGGAGCGCAATGGATAGCAGCAAGGCGTAGGAGTCGTCGCCGGATAGGATAGGAAACGACGGCTTTTTTGTTTTTGTCGTACACATATTCATACGCGTGCTGCGGAAGCACCGCCCAACAAGACAAGGAAAAGCATGTTTATTCAAGATTAGGTGACACCGCATCATCCCTTGAAAATTCACGGTCAATGAGAAAAAGATAACGGAAACGGATATTACCCCTTGGCACACCCGAAGCGGGTACTTTTTTTCGCTGTCTGTCCCGTAAAACGCAACAACAATGGTCGAAAGCAAAACAAGAAAACGAGACCGCAGACAACAGCGTCCGCTGCCGTTCGGGCATCCTTTTTGCACACTAAACACAGGAGGGGGTCCAGTCCCCCCCCTCCTATGTGACCCCGGTTGGGTCGTCTAGCCAGTAGAAGTGGAGGATAGGGGCCAGAGGGGCAGACGACAGAGTCAAATGATCGGAGCAAAAAAAAAAAAAACACTACCCCGATGTGTGATTTTTCATCTGGTTCCAATGTTGATCTGCCTAGATAACCGTCTAACGTTGGCGGCACCCTGCGAAGCCTGTTGCTCTTCCAAGCGAACTTATACAGCTTTTCGTAGAAATTCTGGAAACGGGCAGCAGTTTTTGTTTCCCGCTCTCGTCGCATACACACCTCACTCTCGGGTAGCACGTATCATGATACAACTGTTCGAAATACCATGGTAAAATACATGGTAGGTTCCAAAACCCGGACACAAATAGGACCGAGGCAGGAGCGGAAGACGTTCGTTCGCCACCTAGAAAAAAACAGGCACACGGCCAGCGCCGTACGTGTTACCGCAGTTTGTGTAACAGAAAGAGAGGCGATTTGTTCGTTTTCAAAAAGAAAAAAATGCCGCCAACTTCATTTCGATCCGAGAAACGCTTCTTCTGGGGAAACACAAAAAAACAGACTCTTTTCTTCGATAGAGATGAACTCGTTGGGTCATACTGATAAAAAAATAACGCAATGTAAGACGTCACACATATACTACCGAGCATCCTCTCTCCCCCCCCCCCCCCCCCCCCCCCCCCCCCCCCCCCCCCCCCCCNGTACGAACCCTCGTTGAGAAAGGCCCCTACCTTCTGGCAAACCGGTGCAAAACGTTTTTTGATAAAATCCAACCAAGACACTGAAGACATTTGTGACCTCATTCGGCAGAAATAATATACTTACGGTTTCGCGTTCGCCTCCCAAAACCCCGTCATCTCGCGATGACGTTCTAACTCCCCTTTTCTGCCCTCACCGAAACAACCCTTATGACTGCACGCGACAGGATTCCCCTGAAATCTCTCGCGCCCGTTCTGGATTCCACGTAAGAACCTCAACCCGACGAGCACCTGCTGAGTGAGGAGAGGCGACAAGAATCAAACGCTAGCATTGGTAAGATATGAAGCTCGCGTGGCAGTCCGTTCTGCTGCCGCCGGTGCTTGTGGTCGTGACCCAAGGTGAGAAAAACAACTGCAGCAGTGAGCGGGAAACGTTCTTGCGAAGAGAGTCACGTCGTCTGCCGCCCCGTGGTCAGTGCCGCGGGTGTATCGTGGGACATTTTTATCTTGCCCGTGCCTGCTTAATTGTTCTGAATATTTTACTCTAGGAGTCCGACCGGGTGTAACGGTACTCTGTTCACCTCGCGCCCTCCAGTCGACGGGGATGTATGCATGTGTGTGTGCCCCTGCTGTGTGTTGATGGTGCGTCTACGCTGAGGCCTCGAGATTGAATGCTAGCGTCGCGTGCCTTGCTTGCTTTCAAGCACGGCTCCTACAGCAGCATCACTCCTTACTTGCCTCTACACCGGCCAAAAGAGTTGTTTGACAAGAGATCTTGCTGGGACTACGCGAAGTATGTGCGTGCATGCGCCCTTTGTGACGCTCGTTCTAGCACCACCAGCGTTTGCCAGCAATGCTGCTCCGTTCCCTCGCGTGTGACCACTGCCCACGCACGCGCGCGCGCGCCCTGCAGCCCAGTCCGCTTGCAACGACGGCATCGAGGGCATCGACGGCAACGGCGTCGTCTGCTGTCCGCTCGAGTGCGGGCAGTGCGCAGGGACCGGGTGCACCAATTTCGGCGCCGATTTTGGCCTCGGTTCCGAGTCGTGCTGCGGCGGAGGAGTCAAGGATGCCGGTAACTACTGCGATGTCACCGGCGAAGCCCCGTGCATCTACGGCAGCCCCCCCGAAGGTGAGAAAAGCATTCGCCCCCCCACCCCCCCTCCCTCCCAGTACTTCTGCCGTGCGTTCTGTAATATTTGCTGTCGTAGGTGGGGCACAAGGACGACGTCCTGCCGCGCTTAACCTCGTCTCACAAAACAACGCCAAGAAGCGCTGTTAACGACCGCATACGCACGCGCACAACAGGTGAGTGCAGCGGCGGCATCGAGGGCATCGACGGCAATGGTGTCGTCTGCTGCCCGCTCGAGTGCGGGCAGTGCGGAGGGACGGGTTGCTCCTCGGCTGGCGCAGCGTCCGGCCTCGGTTCCGAGTCCTGCTGCGAGTCCGGAGTAGATTCTAGCGGCCGGTACTGCGATGTCACCGGCGAAGCCCCATGCATCTACGGCAGCCCAGACGACGGTGAGAATCGTTGCATCGAACGTCACTTATAAAAATTGTTGTGTTACGACTTTCATTCAGATGTGGTGAGTGAGAGCGGATGATTTTGGCGGTAACGGGACTTTTGGTGCAGCAGGAGTGCTTGCGGTGGCAGCGGCCGCCGGAGGCCGCTCGTTGAGGACACGCTTTTCCGTTGGCTCTGAGCGCTCTTCTCTTCTCTCAGCTGAGCTCAGGAATGGAGGGAGGGCGTATGTCTCTGAACGATGAGAATCGCAGTAGCAGTAGCAGCTGGAACTAACGGCCGAAGGTTTGCATGTGCGGAGGATCGATGATGACGGTCTCCAAGTCTCACTCTTGCTACATTCTCTTATTGCGCGTTCTCTCTCTCTCGAGACACTTATGCATGTCCGCACTGGGTGAAGGGCACAAACAAGCGATCCCGCGTCGTATCGTAGATGAGTTGAAACGAAAGAGGAAACGGTGCCCCCCCCGACGTGGTTCCAGCGTTGGGGTGGTGGCTGTTCGACTGTCTCTGTCGGATGTGCCGATTTATTTTTTTTGTATTTGCGTGCGCAGCGAGGGATCACTTAACCAACCAACGAAGCATTTGGATTCAGTCGGAGGCGTTCTGCAAAGGCGGGGGCGACGGCGACGGCAGGTGGTCTCGTCCAAACTTGGGCCGTGTTTTCGTTTTTATGACCATCGATCGGCCCAAGGTACCGCAGTGTACGTGATGACCGAAGTTCGTATCATCACATAATATTTACGTACATGCGTTTCCCGCTAGATACGTGCGACCGGAATCGGCCGCCGCCGAGAAACCCGGCGCGCCGGCAACGTCTACTCCCTAGGACACATTTGTCCCCGCCGTGACCCTAGTACTTGTTGAGGCCTTTGATGTACTGTTAAGTAGGGGTCCGTACGCGCTCCGCGCTTTAAAAAATACGCCGCTTTTAGGGCCCCATCTCTCGACAACCAACGGCCGTTCGTCCGTTTTCGCCAGGGAACTCGCGACGCGAAACTCGATACTCTGGATCGTTGCGGTGGCGACGAAGCCTTGCCGTCACGCGCGGCGCGGGTAACCTCCGGCACCACACGACCCAAGCCTATGTAGAGCCCTAAGTTGCTCGCCTCTCGTACGTTCGCGAAGACAAGGGTTCCCCCCCCCGACGCGGTTCCAACACCTGGCCAACGTTGAACTAGCCCCTCGGGCAACGCACGCGCGGCCTTTCGCTTGCGCACGCACCTGCCTCTCCCTTGCGACTCTCGCCTTCGACACCCGTCCAATCACTCCTCCCATATCTTCTGTCCGCTACGTTGGTTGTGGTAGGCAGGGGACGAACGACCCCGACCAGCCCAACCCCCCGTCTACTCCCATATCTTCTGTCCGCTGCGATCGTTGCGGTAGGCAGGGGGCGAACGACCTCAACCAGCCCAAATCCCCCGTCTACTCCGGCATCTTCTGTCCGCTAGTTGCGGTAGATGCGGAACAGGACGACCCCCACCAGCTCAATCGCCGGTCTGTACCGCGCTGCCGCCGCGCTTCCAGCTCCGAGTTCCACCCCCCTCGTCACACCCACAAGACGCCGACGGCGCAAAACCATACCTGACGACACTCACCACTGCCACCAACACCACTGCGATCGCCACTGCTACCAGTACCACCCCAACACCACCAACAGTGCCACCAACACCACCATCACCGAAAAACGCCGAGACAGGCTTCTGCAGCAACGGCTTGGAATGTTGCCCTCTCGAGTGCGACACGTCCGGCCAGGAGTTCAGCCTCGGCTCCGAGTCCTGTTGCGGCGAAGGGATCATAGACTCCGGGATCATGTGCTCCGACTCCCGGGCGGCCCCGTGCATCCAAGGTGCCTAGGCGGCACGTACCACCCTAATGACGACGACCTCCACCCCCACCCCGAAGAAATAGTCGGTGCGCAGCTGATCCGACCACAGGCGGCCCTACGATGACTGTGCTGTTGAGGCAGGCGCAAGGCTCGGACGTGGGGGTCGAAAGGCGCGCACGTCCTCTTGGTTACGGGGTAGGATGCGATTAATGTACATAGCGGCAGGGTGGTTTACCAGTTGCTTTCATCCTCCTTTTTCTTATTGGCATTATTTTCTGCTCCTTTTTTCATGTTTTCTGCCCCTGCTTTTTTCGCCTCGCCAATCATCTGCCTCAAAAGTCAAAAGTGATAACTTTCGCGTGTTTTTGCCCTTGTGCCTGTGCTCGTGGTTCTGCCAACGGCCAGTTGTTGCCTTGTTTATGACATGTTATCATTGATTATGCCCTCGCGAATGCGTGCTTCAAGTTAGGTGTTTTCCTCCTGTTTTTCCTCGGCGTCTGCCCTTTGCCTTGTCGAGGCCCTCGCTTGATCTTCTGCATATATATATGCCTTTTATCATTGGGTATCATGCCCTCGATCATGCCTGTCTGGGCCAAACTTGTGTCTTTCTGCGTTGCTCCCTCTTCTGTTATTTCCTCTCTTTGTGGCTCGAAGCCCAATTATTTCCCGTTTCAGTTCGCAGCCAGATGACTACACATATTATCTGCTCATTCCCTGCTTATTCTCCTCGAACATGTGTTGAAATTGGCTTTTTTCCATGTTCCTTGTTGTGGCGTAATATCTATGTTCTTCTTACTGCGAGAAAAATGGGCCTAAACTACCTAGAACTGCACAGCAAGAGGTTACCTTCGATGAGGGCACCAAATGAAATGATTTCATCTTTCTTGGGAATCCCGTCTCCAACCTTTGACTGCTGCCCTACTTCTCAGAGGCCGCCAAAGTTCCAGTATAACGTTCCCACTACGCCTGTTTGTGCCGAAAAAGCATGCAGCCCGCGGAACAGTCCGCGCACGCATGGTCGATGAAAGTCACTTTGTGAATAGCGAATGGTAGTTGACCCGGTCACCAACCACGCGCGTCGCAAGTAAGGCATGTTCAGTCCATCCTCGCAGTCAACCGCGTCCATGACCATGCGCCGTGTGATCACCCGTCAGGTGTGTGTGGTGTACTCGCGCGCACGCGCCAGGTTCTCACCTGCAGTGACCTACTCACACGCAAGGACTCCTGGTATAGTTCGCAGTCACCCATGAGTACAATGAAGCCCGTATGGCTATTGATCAGCCTGCATTCATTATGTATGAAGACAACAGCAGACAACATGCACACACACGCAGAATACTGCGGACTACCGCTGTGCAAGTTCTTGAAACATTTTTTTGCCGATTGATTTGAGTGATACTACTGCATCGTCTGCACACGTTTTTTGGCCCGATTGATAAATACCGCTGTCAAATAGTTCTATACACCCAGCCACAGGGACATATTATCTATCTAGAGGCATACATACGTAGCAAAATACCACTTCGCCGAGAAAAAAATTGACCCCCGCCCTCCGTTCCATCCGCCCCGCCCCCCCGCTTGTCGCCGCCGTCTGCAAACAATCCTTCTTCGCCTCCCAGGCAGCGGTGTCGCGCCTGGGCCTACGCCTACCACCCCCACCCCCACGCCCAACCCGAGCCCCACACCGGTCATGACAATTCCCACCAGTTGCACCTCCAGCCAGTTACCCTCCTTCCGCTACGCCGCCAGCAGCGGGAAGGTCGGGAAGGGACGCCTGTGTGAGTGATTGTTGTTGTTGCGGTTGGATTATAATATACTTATTTTTACTGAGATTTTGTGCCTCCGTTCTATCCAGGCTTCATCGTGGACTGACTTGACCATGTAAACTCCTGCTACTTGTCTGTTTGCCCGATTTTTTTCTGTTTTTTTCGCAATGTAACAAAACGAACCCATCTTTATCCACCGATGGGAGAGTCTCGGATTGTTATATTTTTTCTGAAGGCCGCGATGCGTCATTCCCTCCCCGTCGCCAACACGAAAACCCGGGCCATCACGACCATATAGATGCAAAAATTTTCTCTTGTATCCCTACGTCCCACGCCCCCCCCCCCC